CCAGATTGTTGGGGGCAATATGCTGACTCTCTGTAAACCGCTTAGAGAGGCCTGAAAGGCCTATGAAGCGGTATATAAGTCTACTGCTATATTAAGATCACATTTTGTGGTTGATCCTGTAGTAAACGGTTTGGTTTGTGGCTATTTCAAACTGTGTACAAGGAAGTGAAAGAAATGAATAGTAGGTGTTTCTCTACTGCTGTTATTTTTCCACTGCAAGATAGCTTCTCCTTTCACGCAGAGCTAAGATGAGATGCAACTGTCTTAGTTGGACATCTATATAAAGTAAATTCCAAGGCAATCTAGCATGTTCTAGAATCCTCTGCCGCGTACAAAGGATTCAATTATGAAAAGAGCTTCTTCAACCACTTGAGTAATATGGGAAGAATTGCCAAAGGGTGAAAATTTGAAATTGCTTACAATTTAGACCATTCTTTTGCTAGAAATATGTATATAGTCATTATATCAGTATGAACACTTACCCCAGGGCCCATAATATGGTTACTTATAGCTGAATCATGAACTGTGGAAAACACATTCTCTTTGTGAATTTCAGCCAAGTTAACTTTAGCTGTCAATGTGTGGCCTCAAAATGACTCAAAAATATCTATGCGCGGCTATCTTTTGTGATAAATAGCGCTTCTAGTTATTGACATTTTGCAGAATTGTGTGCTGTATTAATGCTATATAGCTATATTATTCCATTTTTTTCCCTCCAAGAAAAATTATGAGAAGAAGGTATAAGAAAAACTGAAAGCTCCTCTTGGCCCCTTGACTTCTAGAACAAAACATGCACAAAAAAAAGTTGTATCTGAATATACAATCTGTCAGCAGGTGTGAGAAAGCAGTCAATTCTCCTAGTTCAAAAGCTGGTACCTTGCCAACCTGAGATGGCTTCGCCTGCAAAGTGGAAGAAGATGAATCAATACATGAAAGAAATCTATCTTATATAAAATAAAATCTAACACAATTACAGGCCTGACCCACTCAATCCTGAAAGTCGCAGATTGCATTTTGAAAATCAGTTCTGTCTTTCTGCTCTTAATGGATAGCGTATTTACCAAAAATAATAATAATACATATGTTGATTTTGAAAAGAAATGTTCCAATCTTTAAAAGAAAAAAAAATAACTCAACCCATCACATTCATAACCATTCTGTGGCTTCTTGGGCACCAGAAATAGACAAGCACAAAAACTAACACCACGTAGTTCTGTATCTTTTCTTTTCAGAATAGTTTTAGCTTGTATCACATCTTGGAAGCTATCAGCATTTGATAGATGAGGATTCAAGTTTACATTGCAAACTGGTCATGTTTACACTAAAAAGAAATCCCACTTTGGTCAATGGGGGTGACATCAAAGAAAGAATGGATAAAACTGCAACCTTGGAATTGGAATAAACTGAAATTGTCTAGCAACAACGGCAGTATTTTCATGAAGTCAACACAATCCTCACAATTACTAGAAGTAAGGAATCCGTTGGGTCCCTGGTGTTCTCTGAGCTTGATGGTTTTCTTGCAGACGTTTCACTACCCAATAGGTAACATTGTCAGTCAGCACTGATGAGGTTACCTAGCTGGATAATGAAATGTCTGCAAGAAAAACATTAAGCTCGGGGAACACCAAGGACCCCCCAGTTCAACCCTGATTGCAGATATTACCTTCTATCAGAAAAGCATCTGTTTTCATTGATCGACTGTATTTTTTGCTTACCTGGGCATTATGCAAGAGTCTTCTAGTTTCCTGTCCAGTATGTTCAGATCCCTGAAACAGTGAGACAGAACATTCAGTGTGACAGATGCCAACCTAACCGAGCCCACATCAATAAGTACACAGCTGAATCAACAGAGAAAAGGCATGTTTGAGAGTCTAGTCAACAAAGTTAGCATGCAACTCCAGCTGCAAAAAATCTTACATGGGCTCACAAATTGAACAGCCACCAGCTTTTCTCTGCTCTCATCAAAAAAGTAAACCAATTACATTGACAAAAAGCCACTGGAAATAAAAAAATTGCATTTAAGATTGCCTACGATAAAATTCTTCCTTTTTGTCATAGAAATGTAGGTTATATATTCACTGTTAGCAAGAGTTGCATTACTATTATTGTTAATTTTAGTTCTGTTTATTGCCTCAAGGGTTATATATTGTAACATAATTTTTGTTGCCACTAGTTAATGTTAATTAGCTGTTTTAATAGCCTATAATGCCTATTTGTTAAGTTTTTGGCAGGTTTACTTTTTTAACTATCAGTAACTTAATCACTTGGAATATTTAACATTGCTGTTGCATACTCAAAATTACAGTTACTATTATTGTTACCTGTTTAACGTTTAGTCATCCTTTGAGTCCTGCGACATATTTCGTTAATAATCATCAGCCATCAAGTCTGATATTCTCAAAAGAAATAACAGCCCTCTATAAACTGCCTTCAAGGGAGGTGATAATTAGCACTGAAAATTACAAATAGAGTTTTTGAAGTTGAATAGCAACAACTGGGCAGTGACACTGATGATTGGACTGTCAAGACAAGTTATTAGAGAACTCCACAAATACCGCCGACACACTCCTCGGAGTGAAAAGAAAGAAGGTGAGTCTATGCGATGCTTACAATGTTGAATGGGATATTTAATGTATGGGGAAACTCAGCGGTTGAAGATCTAGCATTTAGACAGCACTGGTAAGCAATAATCTTACCTCTTTAAACTCCATTACATTCTCACGAGAGACAGGCTAATACAAACGGATCAATCAGAGCGTGTGTTTAGCAAGATCAAACTTAAGAGGAGAGTTTAAAAATCCATTTATTCTTCTAAAGCCACGACTTTTTTTTTCCCCCATTAACATGTTATATACATTAGTGTCTTCTTAAGTCATGAGCCATGTCACAGTTTTAGTTGGTTAGCTTTTAAATTATTTAACAACCATAAGCTATTAATACAATTTTTTTTTTAAAGTCTTGCACATCGTCTTAAAACAAACTTGGGTTCATTTATATAGAGATTTTTGTTTTTTTTTGTAAAAGAAAGGGTTTATATCAAAAACATATTTAGGCATCTCTTGAAGAAGAAATCAAGCAGGCATTTAAAGCTAAACACACGTAATTCCAAATTTAGTTTGTTACAAAAGTTTTCAGCTTTATTGACAAGTTATGGCAAACATATTTGACAAAATTATGTTTCCTATTTAGAGAACCTTACACATGGAACTTTATGTGATTTAAAAAATAATAATAAAAAACAAAACAAATACAGATTAAAACACTGGACAAATTCAGTTAGCTACATCCATACAGTAGCAGCTTGTTGTCAAATCCCGTTAAAACAGCATTTAAAATGAAATTTACAAACTTAATATTAAGCATTTTAAATCTAACTAACATATATTAAAAGACAGGTTAAAACAGCTTATCTACATCTCGATTATCATCTGGTTCCAAAAAAAAAAAGAGAGGTCATATTACATTTTTTTTAAGCAACCCTAGATAAAAACTCAACCTTCGTGTGGGGACTAAGAGATGCAGCTTCATGCTTCTTTTTTTGTTTTATTTTTCCTGTTTTGCTTTAAAATTACACACAACAGTGAGGAAGAACAACCATGACAACATCATCTTGCTGAAAGGTTTAGTCAACAACTGCCAACAGTCTTTTAAAGTCCATGTCCTAAAAATAATACTAATGCCAGTTTCACTCCATTCTGGAAACATAAGTAGTATACAGGTAATCATAAGCAGTAATTCCTAGGATAGAAAAGAAAATGGGCTATTACTTGTCTTGTTGCCATTTACGTGGAGACCAGGGGTTCTTAATTGTCTTTAAGTTGAGGTCACAGATGTGGAGAATATCTTTCAATATCTACCATAGGGGTGTTCCCTGTAACTCCCTCTGGTTGACCTGGGAGTTGGAGCTTTTAAACTGGAACGGCTTATGGTCCATTCTTCTTGAGCTGAAACAAGACAAAATAAAGAAGAAGTTGCTTTATTTTAGTAGACATGGATGTAAGGCTCTGATCAAGCTATCCATGCATCAAGTATTAAAAATACCGTGGCGCGACAAAACCGCGCTCCACTAAAGCGCGCCCGATTAAACCGTGTCGCTGACGTCATCAGCAGGGCGACAACAGCGGCCGCGGAGAAAAAAGGGTGCTTTAAATAGCGCTTTGAAAGCAAGCCGATTCACGTTAAGGTAAGGGTTAGGTTTAGAGTTAGGGTTAGAGTTAGGGTTAGGGTTAGGGTTAGGGTTAGGGTTAGGGTT